CCTGAAGAAGATATCCCTTTTCCTTTCTTACTTTTCCACTAAATGTTATCTGGGGGGTTTTTTTTTAGGGGCACTGGTGGTCCCAAATTAAAATTCCAGATAGCACAGCAAAATATTTAGGAGCATATGAGACCAAAATGGTAGCATTGTAGAACTGTGCACCACACCACACCACACTACACATATGTTGCTCTATATACTACACAGAGAAACAGACAGACTCAAAGAGGTCCTTCAGACAGTCCTATAGGTTGAATAAACTCCTATAAGGGACTTTTACAGGGTGACAGCACAGTAGCAAAGGGACCCAACAGATGAGACAGTAATCACAGCCAAGACAATGGGGCCTGATAAGGGACAAGTGGTGAACAAAAACACCACAGCTACTGTGTCTCAGCTACCAGCTGCCGCATGGTTCAGCAGAGGTGTGGTGGGGATATTTGGTTATTTAGAATCCCCCACTGAACAACTATGACTCACGACATAATTCACCACTACACTCTTAGAAAAAAAGGTGCTATCTAGAACCTAAAAGGCTTCTTCAGCTGTCCCCATAGGATAACCCTTTGAATAACCCTTATTGGTTCCTCTACCTGCATGTACATATTACCTCAATTACCTCAACTAACCTGTGCCCCCTCACATTGACTCTGTACTGGTACCCCTGTATATAGCCTCCTTACTGTTATTTTACTGCTGCTCTTTAATTATTTGCTATTTCTATATTTTATTCAATTTATTTACATTTTTGTTTACTTCAGTTTATTTAGTAAATACTTTCTTAACACTTATTTTTCTTAAAACGGCATTGTTGGTTAAGGGCTTGTAAGTAAGCACTTCACTGTAAGGTCTACACCTGTTGTATTCGGCGCATGTGACAAATACAATTTGATTTGATTTGATTTTAGGTAGAATCCTTTTGGTTACAGGTAAAACCCTTTGGGTTCCATGTAGAACCCTTTCCACAGAGGGTTGTACATGGAACCCAAAAGGTTCTACCTTAAACCAAAAAGGGTTCTACCTGGAACCAAAACGTGTTATCCTATGGGGACAGCAGCATAGCTATTTTGGAACCATTTTTTTCCTAAGAGTGTAGTGTCAATGAACATCTATGAAGCAATACCTTAATTTCTACTGGTCCCTGTACTTACGTGCATGTTATTTTTGGAGAAGAGCATCAGTGGTCTCCGTAGTACTGCATTTCTCAGAGTGGTTGTTGGTATTTCTTTCTCTCAATCTCTCAGCTCACAGAGATGGCGCACAGGACACTGTAAAGAAGAGTAGACAGTATATACAGTCATGGTATGATGACTGTCCTCTCAGAGGGCTAAGGTCTGAGAGATAGAATGAGGGTGAGAAGAGAGAAAGAGTGTTTGAGAGGGTGCAGTGGTATTATAAAGGAAGGACAATCAGTAGCCCACACAGACATAAAACACTACCAGATAGGGTTATCTGTGTGGGCCCTTCTGCCTTGTCTCCAGACTGGTGATCCTATAGGGACCAAGGAAAGGACACCTTGGCAGAGATTAAAACACATAGGGCCTATGTTTATGTAGGCTGTGTGACTCTACTCAGATATATACATTCAAAAATGATTCAACATTTATGATTTCCATATGTGGAAGGCCCTACACTATAACATGACATCATTAATGAAATTGTGGGTATGCATTGTGTTGTTAGCATAATCTGGATAGGCCTATTTTCAAACTGTAATTCTTGGTAAATAATAGGCCTAGGTGAAGTAATGCATATGTAAAACCTTTATATCTGGGGATGATGAAAGACTCAACTAACTACTTGCCATTCGTTTGAAACAAATCATGGGAATGTCTTAAAAGAAAGCCTGCCTGATGTAAATGTTGATACAAGTTGTTGTAAACTCTGCGTGGTCCACCTTGAATGACAGAGGAAACCATTGTAACTATTTATACAACCGTGTCCATCTTCGTGTGAGACATATACACGCCCTGCTGCACGTGTCTTATGGCAATACCCCCCCTAGTTACCACTGCGATTCTGGCTGCGGATGAATAACAACAAGCATTGTCACGAGGCCACACGGAAGAGACCCGTGCTTCTTCCCTACTCACCCAGCTCTCTCCCCAAGCCTTTCCTTTCCTCATGAGAGAGCCGAGCTAAAAGAACGATAATGAGAGAGGAAGGCGGCAGATGCTCGCATGCCTTTACAAACGCACGCGACCCCGGCGCGCGCAGGATCAGGAGCATTCCGCCGCCTGGCGCAAGGAACTGGGGGGGAGAAACTTTCCCTTTCGTGAGTGGCGCGCCGGCAGCTCCCCCGACGGTTTTCGGAGGACCCCGGGGCGGCCTAGTTCCACCTGCTAAGCGCTTTTGTCATCGGGATCTCCTTCATTTCAATGACAAAGTGCAGCTCTCCCCTCCCACAGCTCTCCCCTCTCTCCAGGCTCCCAGTAGTAACTTTACGGCCCCAGTGGGCTGAATCACTGCACCCCCTCTCCATCCACAGAGAGCGCCATATGAGCAGGCCAGACTGTCGCCAAAATTAACACAATGGAACATTTTCTGAATTAATATAGGCAGCCCTATGATTGAAACCAACACAGCGTCTTAGCATTGCATTTTGAGTTGTGTTAAATGCTGATTTTGTATTTGAGATCATTATGTAGGGAAGCTATTGGCGAGCTATAGTCTAGCTAATTGCATTATACAAATACATTGTTTTGAGATCTGCATCTGATTATTTTACATATCAACACTGAAACGTAAATATATGGGTTTGGCCTACTCTAATTCCCGTATAGCGTAGTTCTTATAACTGTATGTTCTTGCCCACTGTGGCATGAGACAATTCGGGTTTGAAACTGTTTTGTCGCTGCACCTGCCATCTAAGCCCAACATAAGGATAACATAGACTTGGTATATATATATTTTAAAGAGTTCTTAACACATATTAGCATAGAGAAGTGCGTATCTAAATGTACTGAGTTTGCATCTGCTTTCGGCAAACATACCGCCTTGATTTTGTGTTTCCATTGGTTTTATTCGAATTAAACCCGTTCTTGTTTAAACTCACGATGTGTTTGTCTTCTTTGTGGTGGAAATGTGATTAGCCTGCATTCCCCACTGCAGTAATGATTTTAGGGCACTGCAAGCTCGCCCGGGGTTTTCTCAGAGCCGGGTGAGATGGAGAGAATCGAGGCACCGGCCCGTGGCTAACTTTGTTAAACGTTAGCGGGGCCTTTTCACCCGGCTCCCTGCCCTCGTGAGAGAACAGTCTACATGGTTGCTCTTCCATTCCCAGCGACCACCCATAATAATTTGGCACCAGTTATTTCATTGAAAGTTTGAGCGCTTGTTTTGGATGCTGCGTTTAGGACCTTTTTACGCATCTAAAAACACATATTTGGGTCACATTTATATTGTTCTAATGCCACATCCTACAGTATGTGGGGATCTTATAAAAAACAATCCCCAAATCAAACACATAAATGTGTTCATTAGCTGGTAATTGCCTAGTATGTGTTGAATCACTAGGGAGAGGGCTATATTGATTTGCATCTCTGCTGAATCAATGTCCATGTGTGTGCATGGAGACAGATGGCGGAGAGAGCGAGCGCATCTCCTCTGATGCTTTTTCCCACGAGTCACTCCAGGAATTTAAATGCAGCCAGGGAACCTCAGTAAATATGCTCTATCCTACTTTACAGAGAGAATAAAAACATACGTTGGTTTTGTCCAATGGGCTAAAATCACCATCAGTGATATAGAATACCTTAGTGCTCCGGGTTACCACATCAAATATAGCTTGGTGGGAATTCATTCCTTTGTCACATGTCTAATTGTGCGCTGAATGGGGCCAACCGGTGGAGTCTAGAAAAATGTTTTGGAGAGATTTATCAAGGCAAGGCGCGAGGAAACGGTATTGCATTTTTTTCTGAATCGCACCTGAAAGGGCGTCAATTCTCTGGGAGTGTTTCTATCGGGAGGCTCGCGGGGCCTGAACTGACTATGGGTTTGGGTTGTCTGAACCTCGCGCCAGATGGCCTGGTGCCTTCTTAAAGCTCCAGTTGCTCGTGTTTGCACTCTGAGCGCGAGTTTGAGGATGCTAATTCAGCCGGATCAGGGATGGGAGGTTGTAAAACAATATTATACAGGGGAGAAAAGTGTCCACCGGCGTGACCCGCCGCGAGACACATTCAGCTGGAGGGAATCCTTTCAGAAATTCGCCACACGCGCCATGAGGGCGCGCAGAGGTCTTCTCACTCAGTAAAGTGCAAGACTTGGATCCACAAACATTCACTCTTTACCTTCTTATATTTTTCTCTCCACTTTGATGGCTTGAAAGATCAAATGTGAGGCTATGCAACCTTTTGATCACCACGACTTTAGGAACATGAATTTGGTAACCAAATTGTATCCACTTTAACCAACTTAAATACCTCATTATATATATTGTGTCCAATGTTTTCCAGTTAGGCTAAATATATGAAACAACCACATATGATATTCACCTCAAAATACATTTTGATTTTTTTACTGCCATAACAGATGCTCATAACCAGCACGTAAAACTCAAGCAGGGCTATTTTGAGGTTTATCTCATACCAAGGGAGATTATACGGAACGTTTAAGTTCTTTATCATATTTAATGTAGGAATAGAGTGTCAAGATTATTTTTTAGCATATTCAATCTGACAGTGGCACACGTTTGTGAAATGCAGCTATGACAATATGCGAGTGCCGAGGCAGCCCTGGGTCAATTTGGATATGTTTAAAGTTCTCCCTGAATAATCCCCCTTATTGTTGTGGCACACTTTAAAACTACATCTTTGGGCTGGTCCTCCCGGCTTCGGAAATCAAGGGCCCCTCTGTGTTGTGAATGGACACCCTGGAGGCAGCGAAGGGGCAGCACTTGATTTAGGGAGGGGGTGTAAAGGAGAGGGGAGGGGGGCTGGGGGAACGTTTTTGTGTGAGCTAAGGAAAAAGACGCAGTTTGGGTGAGGGGCGGGCTATGAGGGCCAGTCTGTAGATGAGACAGACGGCAGGAGCGCTCGACAGAGCAGAGCGCACAGCAACCAAGCGGAGCTACGCCTTTTCTCACCGCTCAGATTTCCAGACACACACTCCACACACAGACGGCGTAAGTGGATGTTGCAACTGATCACGAGAGGAAGAAAAACACTGCATTTGAGTTGGTGTTTTTGGTGTAAAATCGGAGCCAAAAGAAAACTCCGACCCGTTTGATTTTGGGTTCTCAAATCTTCATCGTCCAGTCGATTTGCACGACTTTTCACCGAAGGTGACTTACTGAAGGGATTTAACATGCTATACTTTTGAGAGAGCATCTTTTTTTCAAACCTTGCTCCTCCGTGGTAGTGTAGCCCCATCCCGGGTGCTGAAGATGGGTGCCAAAATGAATACACCCAAAGGGAATACAGTATTTTCCACTGCACTATTATTATTTTTGGTTGCAATTATGCAGGACGTTTCTGGTAAGACTTTGAAATATAAAGTTTATGAAGAGCAAAAAGTGGGCACGGTGATTGCAAGGCTAAAGGAGGACGTGGCTGATGTTCTGTCTAAATTACCAAGTTCAGTGTCCTTTCGGTTCCGTGCTATGCAGCGGGGGAGCACTCCGTTTCTGTCGGTTCGGGAGGAGGACGGTGAAATCACCATAGGGACCAAGATTGACCGGGAGAAGCTTTGTGAAAAGAACCTAAACTGTTCTATCGAATTTGACGTTGTCACTCTGCCCACTGAATACCTCCAGCTTTTCCACGTCGAGGTGGAAGTCTTAGATATAAACGATAACTCGCCACAGTTCTCCCGTGCCATCATTCCCATTGAGATCTCCGAGAGCGCGTCTGTGGGCAACCGCATCCCTCTGGACAGCGCCACGGACCCTGACGTGGGAGATAACTCCCTTTCCTCTTACTCTCTGACACCGAATAACTTTTTCAAAATCGACATAAGGACCAGAACCGACGGTGCCAAATACGCAGAGCTGGTGGTGGTGAAAGAGCTGGACAGGGAGGTGCAGTCCAGCTACCAGCTGCAGCTAACGGCCTCGGACAATGGAGTCCCCCCGAAGTCCGGCTCCACTCTGCTCAAGATAAGCATCTCAGACTCTAATGACAACAGTCCGGCTTTTGATGAGCAGGTGTACGTTATTAATCTCCTGGAAAACTCACCACTTGGGACTCCACTGATTGATTTGAACGCCACAGATCCGGATGAGGGCACTAACGGTAAAATAGTTTACTCTTTCAGCAGTCATGTCTCTCCCAAAATACTGGAGACGTTTAAAATGAACCCTGAAAATGGCCAAATTACACTGATTAAAAAAGTGGACTATGAAACTACGTCTTCTTATGAGCTGGATGTTCAGGCTCAGGACCTGGGTCCCAACTCCATCCCAGGACTTTGTAAAATTGTCATCAAAGTGGTGGATGTGAATGACAACAAACCGGAGATCAACATAAATCTGATGACTCCTGGTAAGGAGGAAGTGGCCTACATCTCAGAGGGCGCGCCGGTGGACACCTTCATTGCTTTGGTGCGTGTGGACGACAGTGACGCAGGGCTCAACGGCGACGTGGTGTGCCGCCTGCACGGCCACGGGCACTTCCGGCTGCAGAAGACCTACGAGAAGAATTACATGATCCTGACCAACGTGTCTCTGGACAGAGAGAAGAGGTCAGAGTACAGTTTGACTTTCATAGCTGAGGACCGCGGCTCTCCAAGCCTTTCCACCATCAAACACTTCACAGTGCAGGTGTTGGATGAAAATGATAACCCGCCCCGCTTTGAGAAGAGTCGCTACGAGGTCTACAAGTCAGAGAACAACTCTCCCGGGGCCTACCTGATGACAGTGGTGGCGTCTGACCCTGACCTGGGCACCAACGGTCAGGTAACCTACACAGTGGTGGACACTCTGGTCCAGGGAAGCCCCATCTCCACCTACGTCACCATCGACCCATCCAACGGCGCCATTTATGCCCTACGGAGCTTCGACCACGAGGATGTCAGCCGCATCTCCTTCACCGTCCAGGCACGCGATGGAGGGAATACCGCCCTCTCCTCCAACGCCACCGTCCTCCTGACCGTGCTAGATGACAACGACAATCCGCCTGTCATCCAGTCCCCGCTCCTACGGAACCACACCGCCGACCTCCTCCTCTGGAGACACGCCTCCGCCGGTCAGCTGGTCACAATTGTCAAGGCCACTGACCGTGACACCGGTGCCAACAGTGAGCTGAGCTGCTCTATTGTCGGTGGCAACGAGGAGGGCCTGTTTGTGATGGATGCGCGGCAGTGCGAGCTGCGGACAAACAGCAGTCTGGAGGGGGTTCCCAAGGACGTGCTGGAGATCAGGGTGGAGGTGCAGGATAGGGGCACCACCCGCCTGTCCACCGGGGCCCTGCTCCGCCTCTCCCTCCAGGAGAATATGGACTTCCTGCCCCCAGGCCTCCCCACAGGCCACAGCCAGCCCCTCCTGGACCTCTCCCTCATCATCATAATCTCCCTGGGGGCCGTGTGTGCCCTGCTGCTGGTGGTCATGGTGATGTTCGCCACGGCACGCTGCAACAGGGAGAAAAAGGACCCCCACAACTCGTACAACTGCAGGGTGGCTGAGAACACGTACCAGAACCACCCCAAGAAGCCCTCTAGGCAGATCCACAAGGGAGACATCACCCTGGTCCCCACCATCAACGGCACCCTGCCTGTACGGGCACACCCACACTCACCTTCTGCCTCACCCGCCCCAGAGAGGGGCACCATGGGTAGCCGGCAGAGCCACCACAGCCGCCAGTCGCTCAACAGCCTGGTCACCATCTCCTCCAATCACGTCGCAGAGAACTTTGCTCTGGAACTGGCCAATGCCACGCCCCCTGTCGAAGTAAGAGGAGAGAGAGAGAGAGAGAGAGAGAGGATGTTGAATTTCATGTCCTTAGTACTGTATCAGTAGAGGGTTTATGAATATGTTATCTGCTAATGGTAGTCTTTGAATCACCTAAATGCCTTTGTATTAAAATAGACCACCATCAACATATCTATAGAATAAAGAATGTTTGAGTTTTGGCTTTGCCTTATATTATGGTGATATAGAAATTGAACAATGTTTACTATTATGATTTTTGCATTTTATATTTTATATTCAGTATTTGTTCTGAATTTGTCCACCATGTTGTGGTATGTTCAGTTCTATCCAGTGATCATCTCATGTTTTAGAACACGCCACGTCATATCAACGTTCATCCACCTCTTGTGACCTTGTGCCTGTCTGCTCCCATCAGTATTCATTTATTCATTTATCCTTTCATTCTTTTTTTTACATTTTCTTTTTTGATTGTAGCAAGTCTCACAGCTTCTGTCCATGCTCCATCAGGGCCAGTACCAGCCAAGACCCAGTTTCCGTGGCAACAAATACACCAGGAGCTACAGGTAATAACACCATCTAACTGCACCTTAAAATAAACACACCTGAAGGGAATCAGAATGTACATGTGTGCATAACTCAGTAAGGCTCTAAGGACTATTCTACAATACTTTACATTTTCCTAAAAAGCTTTTGGCTGTATTCCCTCGTAGGCCTATATTTGCTTTGTTCTATTTTAGGACTCAACCTTAATAACACTTGATAATTGTATGCAAAAACCTTCGCCACTTGAGAATTCACTGCACTTCGTTTTGATATGCATAAGCCTTGAACCATCCTCCAATGTTGTTTTCTATGAAAGTGTAACCATAATTTCCTCTCTCCGGCTCCAGGTATGCTCTGAACGACATGGACAAGTTTAGTCTGAAGGACAGTGGTCGTGGTGACAGTGAGGCTGGGGACAGTGACTACGAGGCGGGACGAGAGTCTCCCATCGACAGGCTCCTGGGTGAGGCCTTTAATGAGCTATACCCCCATGACGGCCAACACAGACCACATCCACAGCATCCGCATGCAGGTATACACCCCTCACCTCATCACCCCTCTCACCCCTCTCAACTCAAAACGCTCCCCCTTCAGCCTACAACACTCTCCCCTCTACATATCAGACTCTTACCCTATACCCCTGTTCTTTACTGAACTATACCAACAATGACTGCATGCAGGTATACCATCCTCACCCCTTTCACCATATCACTCCTCTCACCCATCTTAGCCCTTACCCTACACTACAGGCCTCCTCTGAGCTATGCCCCATCACAACACACATTATCACACCACCTCACCTCTCACCAGAACTATCAATCACCCCTCATCCCCAACACCTCTGAGAGATCCACTCCCCAGCTGCTTATCAGCACGGTGACTGGGACTGGATGGGACTGTGGAGGGAGAAAAGAGGTAGAATTATCACCTGTTTCTCTGATGAGAAAAAGCTCTCATCTCCTCCACAACACAATTATTTCAGAGTGCGATCAGGCAGCCATGCAGACAGCTGGGCAGTTCGGCAGGCAGACAGAGGCGGTTGGAGTGGGTTTTTTGACAGCTTTGAAAGGCTGTTTTTATAAATCAGTCTGGTTCATCTTTTATTTTTGCCTTTCATCAGCGGGGGAGGCAATATGCTGCCGGCCTGCATGGCTGCAGCTGCTGTTTTTCCAATGCTCCCCAATGCACTCTTCCTTCATCAGCTCTAAGATGTATTATAAATGGTCTTTTCATGGTAATGAGAGGGTAATGAAGTCCCTGAATAGCATGAGTGACTAGCCAGCGGTCTTTAATGAAGGCTTTAACTTGGCATATTTGATTTGTATAATTTATTCTTCAGAGATTTTTCATTTGAAGATTTAATATTGAATAGACACGACTTGAAAGGGAAAAATGCAGGTTTTTAAGCAGATTCTTTTGAATGAGTAAAAGTAGCCATTGATCTGGCCCAGTGAATTGTCCTGATATGTTAATTACATGGTACTCCTGCAGAGTGATGTGCTATCTAATTAGCTTAGATTTCCACCTATGTTTGTACCCAGATCATACATTTGTGTTTAAAGATGAATGGACATAAAATGTTTGATGTTAAAAGACTGTATGAAAGACAATCTTTCATCTCCTCCCTTCAAAACCACTCCCAGTTCTATACCTACTCATCACCATCTCCCCTCATCACAAGTCTATCAACAAAAGAACAGTAATACCAAGAACAATCTATGGTCTGTGTATGTAGAAATGCATGGCCATATGGGGCCCACCTACCATGTATTTCATCTCCCTGTGCAGTGCCTTTTGACTCTGTATCCCTGACCATGTCTCTCTCCCTCTCTCGCTGTAGCGATGAGACTGTGCACTGAGGAGTGTCGTGTCCTGGGTCACTCTGACCAGTGCTGGATGCCTCCCCTGCCCTCCCCAGCCTCCTCTGACTACCGCAGCAACCTCTTCATCCCAGGAGAGGACCCCCGCCAGGCCAGCGACCCCCAGGAGCCCCCCCAGCCCTCCGACCCTGCCCACCCTCATGCCCAGCGCAACAACCAGAGCTTCTCCACCTTTGGCAAGGACAGCCAGGAGGGAGCCGAGGAGGGAGAGGGGGGAGAGGAGGGGGAGGAGGACCTGTGTGGAACCACGTCCCTGTTGTCAGAGATGAGCAGCATGTTCCAGAAGCTCCTCCCCCCATCGCTGGACTCCTACGTCCAGGTCAGCGAGACCCAAAAGGGAGGGACGAGTATGGGAGGTGTAGGTGTTCCCATGACAGGGTCACTGGACAGGAGGAGGGGTCATCTGCCAGGTAAGCCCAGTGCTGCCGCCCACCAGCAAGGTGTTGCAGCGTGGGCCGCCAACACCCACTTCCAGAACCCCGGATCTAGCATCGGGCCCTCAGGCCACCCACACCCCCAGAATGGCAGCTACCACACCCTCAAACCCAACACCAAGCTCAGCCCCCAGAACAACCACCAGAACCAGGCCGTCACTAAAAACAGCCCTCAGAACGGACACGGCCACCCCACCCCCAAGAACAGCCCTCTCCTCACTGCCCTGGTCAGCCCCACCCTGGTGGCACCCTTCCTGGCACCGGCCCCCATCCCTGTCCCCCTCCCGGGGCCGTGCGGTAAGTGGCTCCCAGCCATGGAGGAAATCCCAGAGAACTTTGAGGAGGATGAGTTTGACTCGGTGCTGGGGCAGCTGGGACACCTGCAGGGGAAGAGGAGCGACAGCCGCCATGAGCTGATGGACGCCAGCGAGCTGGTGGCTGAGATCAACAAATTGTTACAGGACGTCCGGCAGAGCTAGACATCCCTAAATACCCTCCACCTTTGAACTCTGACCTCCAACTTCCTGTCTTCCTGTCAGGAGTCCTGCCATGTCTATGGAGGGGGAGCTGAGGAGTCTGGGTAGGAAAAAAGAAAAGAGAAACGAACGAAAGACATAGACCTGCAATTGTCGTTAAAGTTGCATTTCTAACGTATTTGTGTTTTGTGAATGCTAAATATCCAAATAATGTTTGTATTTTCTTGTTTGGTACACAATGTACACAATGTGACTGTATTTATCTTTGTATTTTAAAAATACATTTGTATTATTATATTTATATAAAAAAAATGTATATAAACTTAATCAATCAGAATTCTATTTTTATATATTGAATGCATGTTAAATTAAGAAAAAAATAATCAAGATTTTGACATGCAACTTAAAATCTACATATTTAATATTGTCTTTTGTATTGTGAAATGTTTTTTTTATGTCACTATTATTATATGTATACATTACTATATTAATTATTGGACAGAAGTCTTTGTGGTGTATTGTGGGAACTTGGGGGGAAACACAAATAAAAGTGGAAAGACACAGAACTAATATGAGTTTGTCTCGATGTTTCATCTTTGACTAATGTTGTCATTGTATTAGAAGAACGAAGTCAGAGACTTTAGTTTATTTACTAAATTAAATGGTTCCATAGGAGGTTAAGAACCTTCACAGATCTCCAACATTTGGCATACATAATTCTACAAAGAGGTGCTGATAGCACAACATTGAACTGTTGTCTACATTTCTATGAGAAGAGTTCCATTTGAGCTCCCCCTATTGGTCAAAAGAGCTCACTATTGGTCCAATGGCGGTCAGGTCTACTACGGTCAGTGCAAACCTGTATCCTTGGGACGTCCCTACCCTAAACCCTAATCTTAACCTTAACCCCTACCCTTACCCTAACCTTAACCATAACCATAACCATAACCATAATCCTTACCTAACCCTAACCTTAACCCTTACCTTAACCATTTTAAATGTCAACTTCAATGTGGTAGGGACATCCCAAGGACCCCAGATAGCACGTACCTCAGGTCTACTCCAGCACACTGCTCTGGGATGTAACAGTCAGAGCTTCTCCTATTCAAGTCCTAGATAATTGGAAGGAGGCTGTTCATGCCAGTATAGTGTTGCTTCCTATTTTCTTCTTGGTCGATGGCTTACACAAAACCTACAGATGTTACCAGCGCACTGAAAAACATTGGTTCTATCATCACCACTTACTACTGCTTCCCAAGTTGGTTCTTCAGATGACTTTACCCATCTGAAGGTCTGAGGCTCAGTTTGAAACAGAACAGAGCCCCCTGGAGGCCGGATTGAATTGTTGCAGGAGCAGGTTCCTCCTCTTCATCAGCCATAAGCAGCAGTTGCAAGCAGCTGGAGCTGAATTCACTTGGTGCTCTCAACCCTGTAGTCCAAATAAATCACACATTCAACCACGGAGATAGCTACAAACCAATAATATCAGTCAGTTAGTCAGAATGTCAGTCAGTCAGTCAGTATGTCAGTCAGTCAGTCAGTCAGTCAGTCAGTCAGTCAGTATGTCAGTCAGTATGTCAGTCAGTCAGTCAGTCAGTATGTCAGTCAGTCTGTCAGTCAGTCAGTATGTCAGTCAGTATGTCAGTCAGTCAGTCAGTCAGTATGTCAGTCAGTATGTCAGTCAGTCAGTCAGTCAGTATGTCAGTCAGTCAGTATGTCAGTCAGTCAGTATGTCAGTCAGTCAGTATGTCAGTCAGTCAGTTAGTCAGTCAGTCAGTATGTCAGTCAGTCAGTCAGTCAGTCAGTCAGTATGTCAGTCAGTTAGTCAGTCAGTCAGTCAGTATGTCAGTCAGTCAGTCAGTCAGTCATTCAGTATGTCTAGATAAACCAGATGAGGCTAACCATATGGTACGTGCAAACATTTGGTGTGTATGTGCACCTTTGTGAGTCTGTATTTGGCTCATCCCAGATGTCTCAGTATTTTACCCATCACACATGTATTGTGCGTTTCCCACACTGAGCCCATAACCTGGTATAGGCACTCACTCCTTTCCTGCAAAGACACTCTGAGATAGAAAAAACCGCTAGAGCTGTTATCAACATCTCATTGTTTCCTGTGTTCCTAGCTTCCCTCATTTGAGCCTTTACACATGAGTCTGTTTATATCAGCTATGTTGATAGTGAGGTAGCTACCATTAGAGTCTTTTTTCTGGTGGGAGAGGGAGTGATAGAGGGAGGGAGAGGTAGCAGGAGAGAACAAGGAGGTGCTAGCGGGAGGGAGCGAGAGGAGAGGTAGCGGGAGAGGACGGAGAGAATTACAGAGCGAGAAGGAAGGATAGAGAGAAAGAGGTATGGGGTTCAGAGAGAGTGAGAATAGAGAAACAGAGGGAGAGATAGAGGTAGCGGGATGGAGAGAAAGAATGATAGAGAAACACATAGCGAGAGAGAGGGGGAGGGATAAAGAGAGAGGGAGGGATAACGAGAGGAAAAGCCAGGGGGTATTGTCAGGAGAACACAGAGCTGAACACCGGAGTCTGTTGTGAAAAAGGAAGCCAGTGTTTGGCTTTTCATGTCGTCAGCCGTTTCTCCTGAATGCTGCTTAACATATCCTCTCTGACTACATCCCCTCCTTCCTCTCTCACCTTCTATCTCCCCCCTGAAGACGACTGTACCCAGCAATATACCCAGTCTAACAGAACCGCATACTCTCAACTCCACTCAATACTGTCAAGGTCCAGCTGCACTAAATGTGGAGAGATAGGTTTTCTGTGAGGTTTTGTTGGGACTGATCTGTCTTTTCAATGGCACCCACATTTGTATTGATTTCACAAAATAACACACATATGACAGAAACTGACTGATTAAAGTCTTACAGAGAACACAATGCCCATCACCATGAGCCCAACCTCCCCAATTAAGGTGTCTCCAACCTCCTGTGCTTCCACAGCAGGCCTAGCCAGTTGTAGGAGAGCCATGCTGTGTGCCAAGAGCTGTGGATAGGAGCATTGGAATATGGACACGTGAGAGACCCTCCAGAGACACTATCACTGTTTATTTTGCTGCTGATGGATCCTAAACCTCCACTAAGCAGCCAGCCAGCCCTTCTCATCACCAACATCTCTCTGACGGAGGTGGGTTGTGAAAAGGTATCTTGCGATCTTAAGGGCAGGCAGGCAGCAAAGTATAAGAAGCAAAAAGTGGTGATTTCATTCTCAAATTAATGTCAGTGGTTAGAATAAATTATAATGTTGGCAGAAATATGCAAAAACAAACGATAAACCCCAAAAATGTCTTAGAATAATAAAAAGTCAAATTTACTCAATACAAAATTGGATTTGGCCTTACCAAACAGTCTAGGGGTAACTTACAGTTGAGACAAAATTCTGCATACCCTCACATGGACACTCTCCCCATCAGAGTTTACAAAACACTAGCAAAAAAAGACAGGTAGAACTACCTAGAGCCCCTTTCTGGGCTAAACCATAGCCACAATTAGCAGTGGTGCACAATCACACAGTAACAGAACCCATGGGGAAAAAGGGTGCTTTCTTTGCTTCTCGAGCATTGTGAGTATACACGCACACGTCAGAGGGCACGCCTCATTGTAGAGCACGGACATGTACAGTGGGGAAAAAAAGTATTTAGTCAGCCACCAATTGTGCAAGTTCTCCCACTTAAAAAGATGAGAGAGGCCTGTAATTTTCATCATAGGTACACGTCAACTATGACAGACAAATTGAGAAAAAAAATTCCAGAAAATCACATTGTAGGATTTTTTATGAATTGATTTGCAAGTTATGGTGGAAAATAAGTATTTGGTCACCTACAAACAAGCAAGATTTCTGGCTCTCACAGACCTGTAACTTCTTCTTTAAGAGGCTCCTCTGTCCTCCACTCGTTACCTGTATTAATGGCACCTGTTTGAACTTGTTATCAGTATAAAAGACACCTGTCCACAACCTCAAACAGTCACACTCCAAACTCCACTATGGCCAAGACAAAAGAGCTGTCAAAGGACACCAGAAACAAAATTGTAGACCTGCACCAGGCTGGGAAGACTGAATCTGCAATAGGTAAGCAGCTTGGTTTGAAGAAATCAACTGTGGGAGCAATTATTAGGAAATGGAAGACATACAAGACCACTGATAATCTCCCTCGATCTGGGGCTCCACGCAAGATCTCACCCCGTGGGGTCAAAATGATCACAAGAAAGGTGAGCAAAAATCCCAGAACCACACAGGGGGACCTAGTGAATGACCTGCAGAGAGCTGGGACCAAAGTAACAAAGCCTACCATCAGTAACACACTACGCCACCAGGGACTCAAATCCTGCAGTGCCAGACGTGTCCCCCTGCTTAAGCCAGTACATGTCCAGGCCCGTCTGAAGTTTGCTAGAGTGCATTTGGATGATCCAGAAGAGGATTGGGAGAATGTCATATGGTCAGATCAAACCAAACCAACTCGTCGTGTTTGGAGGACAAAGAATGCTGAGTTGCATCCAAAGAACACCATACCTACTGTGAAGCATGGGGGTGGAAACATCATGCTTTGGGGCTGTTTTTCTGCAAAGGGACCAGGACGACTGATCCGTGTAAAGGAAAGAATGAATGGGGCCATGTATCGTGAGATTTTTAGTGAAAACCTCCTTCCATCAGCAAGGGCATTGAAGATGAAACGTGGCTCGGTCTTTCAGCATGACAATGATCCCAAACACACCGCCAGGGCAACGCAGGAGTGGCTTCATAAGAAGCATTTCAAGGTCCTGGAGTGGCCTAGCCAGTCTCCAGATCTCAACCCCATAGAAAATCTTTGGAGGGAGTTGAAAGTCTGTGTTGCCCAGCGACAGCCCCAAAACATCACTGCTCTAGAGGAGATCTGCATGGAGGAATGGGCCAAAATACCAGCAACAGTGTGTGAAAACCTTGTGAAGACTTACAGAAAACGTTTGACCTGTGTCATTGCCAACAAAGGGTATATAACAAAGTATTGAGAAACTTTTGTTA